TGTAAGTGAACTCCAAGAGAGTCAGTTTCAAGAAGCACCCACAGACAGACCTTTGTCTCAACTGCCATCTTTCTTCACCAACCCCAGCTTTTAACAATAGCAAAAGACATAGGCATGTGTACACAGAAGGTCAAAGTCACAGTGCCCCTGAGCAGAGAGGGCAATCGCTGGCAATCTACTCTAGTCTACTATATTAAAATTATTTTGTCAAATGAGATACTTGCCATTCTGGAAAGCACTCAGTACATAGTACTGAGATTCTGCACCTAGTGTCACTGGTAAGCAGGAGACTGAATGAGCCTGCGCCCCCCGGGAAGCCCGGTGCAGAGGGCTGGGGCCTCCAGGAGTGGGCTGACCCTGGGCTTCAGAAGCATCAAGAGTTCAATAAGTCAAGAGACTCTAAGCCCTGTGCTTACAGTCTGTCTCACATAATAATTATATGACTTCCTGCATGTTATTTAGTTCTCTGAATCTCACTTTTTTCTTTTGTAAAGTAAGGACAATGCTACATTTTTTTCAGAGGAAATGGGAGAATAAAGTGACCAAACAGTTCTCTTAGAGCCCAGCATGTTTCCTGATGCACAGTGGAATATCTTTTGAATGAAAAATATGTATAAGACATTTACCTCAGTGCCTGACCCACAGAACATTCTTGATAAATTAAAATTTTGCATATAAGTTTTACTGTGAGAAACATCCTTAACTTCACGCCCAGCTATCCTGCCTCTGGAAGGTCACAAATCTCTCAGTCCAAGAAGAAAATAAATATCTGTGCTGTGAAGAATTTTTCTTATGCCCTACCATGATCTTAGTTCCCCTGAGGCTGAAAATGATCAAGGTGTGTTTGAACCTTCACTTAGAGCTGCATAGGTGAGAATGGTTCCTCTGTGTTGCCAGGAACCGAAGCAATGCAGGTTACAAGCCAGAACATTTCCCACTTATCTGCTCCCCACATAGCATTTTCTATTTTGGTCCATTATTAATCTATAATTATTTTCCTTTGTGGAGTTGAGAAATCATAGCAGGAGGTTACACTGCTTAAAGAATTAATTCTTTCCTGAACAAGGAAAATTGGAAAAAATACAAGCCTGAAAGGAAGAAAGGAAAATTGGAAAAAATACAAGCCTTCTCATTTCCTGAGGCTCACTAAGAAGTCTGCAATTAGCTCAGCTGCTAATAGTTTCCACAGCTCTGCTACTGGACATGCCTAACTTTTCCGCTACAAGCCTGGTAAGAATTGCTTAAATATTGCCTTGAGCAGTTATCATATTTATGATATGATAACCCAATCCTGCCCTTTGGGGCCCCTGTCACCTCCTTGCTAATTGCAGGGGTGGGGGTCGGAGTGAGGTTGAAACTTCCTTTGACACTTGTCTATCTCTTTCATTCTGACATGTTCCTGATGTCTCATCAGTTGTTCTTCCATTTGGTGTTCTGCTGCCTGGTCCTCAAATAAAAATGAAAGGAAACAGGGCCCTGGTGTGCCCTACCCAGCCCTCCAGAATTATCACCGCCAGCACTGCGGCTGTTCATGTCAATACTGCTCCGGGATAGGCAATGTGGACCACGTGTGATGACTTCAACCTTGGCCTCGTCTCACAGCATCCACTCAGGAATACATGAGTGCTGTATGCTATAACTAGAAATACAACAGGCGTTTCCCTAAATACAATCATTCCATGCTTCCCACTTCTTTGATGACCTATAATAGGAAATTTAATTGAATCATTCTCTGACTGACCCTTAAAAATCTTCCCATCCCTCTTTAATAAGATTTGCCAAGAATATCTAGTTTCATTGCAGAAAGGGCAGATAGTACTTTTTTGTGATAATAAATATAGTGTACTAGAGTAGAATAATGCATTTGCTGTCAGGAAAAGCCTGATCCAAATTCTTTATCTGCCTTTCAACTATGTGGTCTTGGGCTAATTATTTAAATCCCAGCTTCAGTTTCCTTATTTATAAAACAGAGATAATTGGTAATGTCTACTTTATGGACTACTGAGTGGATTAAATGGATTAATAAATATAAACTAAGTTTAGGACACTCTTTACTACATACTTGGCTATCATTATATGCATCTATTTTATGCTTCTCCTTGAATCTTCCAATTTCTTATTAGTATGCAGTAGCAGGGGTGAAACTATGGCATGTTTATTTTGTTTTGTTTTGTTTTAAGACAAAAGATATTAATATATGAGTCTTTTGTTCCTAAAATGATACCTCAGTATTCAAGTTTAATTGCAGGATTGGTTCTTGGCGATAGATAAGTGGGTTTGGGGTTGCAGTTTGGCGACTTGTCTCTAAAAGGTTTGCCATCACTGCAGTAAGGATGGTTCCAGGGCTTCCTAGGGATGGAAGTTATAGCATGTGTATTTCAAGGACCCTGCTGTCTTTGTACATACCCTAACAAAATAAATACACCTTTACCCACCTGATAGCTGACGAGGACAATTCTGCAATTAGGAAATCACTGTTTTTACCTTGGGGTTGTTTGCTTATCTCCTATTAAAACACAAATGTTCCTAGGAAGGGAGATATTTTATTGAGCCAATAAATAGAAACGTCTATCATTTAACGTAACACCTTCTATTTGCGTTAATTCTTCGCTGTGTTTGTGGTACCAGGAATTGACCTCAGGGCTTCACATATGCTAAGCAAGCACTCAACAATGAACTGTGGTCCTAACCCTTTTTATTTCTTGTTTTGAGACAGAGTTTCACTAAATTACTCAGGCTGGTCTCAAAATTTTAATTTTCCAGCCTCAGCCTCCAGAGTAGCTGAGGTTACAGATATGCACCATCATGCCCAGCTTCCTTAGTGGCATTTTTTATCTCATCTTAAAATGATTAAGAATCCTACAATGTAAATGTTATTCTCACTCACAATATTCAGATATTTAGTAAATACCAAAGCAAAATTCACTTTGCCAATGTTTTGTTTATTTTTACATAAAAGGAAGGACATAAATTTTTTCTCTCAGAAAAACATCTGAGAGATTGGTGGAGAGGCGATCAATAAAAATTAAATATAATTTAAGGTGTGTTAAAACATCTTGAATTATGAAGAAACAAAATAAGCATAGTCTAGGGCAGTGGTGGTGAACCTACGGCATTCATGCTACAGTTGGCTATTTGTTCTCATTGAAAACTAACAGATTCGCCATCACTGGTCTAGGGTATGTGAAAATACCTTACCAATGTGTGTCCTGACCTTAAAAGTGGGCATTTAAGGGAGCTTCCAGGAACACTATCTCTTCCTAGAAGTTTTGTCTCTTGAGGATAATATAGGATAACAGTTTTGGTAAGTGCAGACAAATAAGCCAATAATGCAAGGGAGATATACACTCTGTATTGCAGTGGGGTGAGGTTTGGGAGGCCATTGTTTTTGGTAAGCCTGAGAATAAATGTCAGATGAGGACTTCGGGTAGAATCGTTGCAAATCCAAGTGAAAGTTAGGAGCTCACTCTGGGGCCCTGATATCTCTTTGCTAATTAGAGTATGCATGGCCTTTTATCATAAAATCATTTAGTCAGATCCCCCGAGTACTTTTATATATTATTACACAGTTTATAATAAACAAATGTGTAGGCAAATAAAAAAAGCAATAAAAGGCTGGTAATTAACAGCATAGGCTCTTAATCCAAAAGATCTATGCCTAAATCCCAATTCACTTGTCTGGTGACCATGGGTAATGTACTGGTTTTCTCTCATCTTCATATTTATTATCTAAGTGTGGTGTGTGTGTGTGTGTGTGTGTGTGTGTGTGTGTGTGAGAGAGAGAGAGAGAGAGAGAGAGAGAGAGAGAGAGAGAGAAAGAGAGAGAGAGAGAACATTCACCTCACAGGAGAATGTCAGAGTTAAATGAATTTAATGAAGTAACATACTAAAGGACAGCTCAATAAATTCTACTTGTAATCATCACACAATTTAAACTGCAAGCTATTGAGAAGCAGAGACTATTTCTTAATCATCTTCATATTCTTGATGCTTATTTGAATGTGATTGCTCAATAAATAACTGCCAATTGATGTTAAAACTAACATAAAAACATTTCTAATGAGTCAAAAATGCAGTATAATACAAGATATGATCAGACCATACATGTCTACAGTAGCAAAGAATGTATTTTCTAACAAACTGATGTCTTCTTTACTCAATGCCTCTGTAGCCGGTTTGCCATATACTCATCATTTTAACAAAAGGAAAACCTGAGTCACCATTTTCAATGATGACTGTAATACGACGTATGTGTGTTGTCAGAGACTGTTAAAAAAAGACTTGGATTACTGTGAACAGCTCTATTCTGAGCTTGTATGGAAGTGCTCCAACATCAGGATACTAGACTCACCATATACACATCTCTAAACTCATTCTGTGACCTCTACATCCCCCAGTTATACAGGCTGTGCCTGTTAAAACCATTTGTTAGGCTTATTCTAGAAGAAAGCAGACTCTATCAGTTGCTGCTCTTTAATGATATGGTACTAGATTTCTTTACTTCCTTGGGATATGGTGAAGCAAGGGAATAACATTTGCTTCCTCTCTAAAATAATTCTATATTTAAGAGATGGAGAATTTTCAAGAGGATCATGGAGGACAAAGCTCTCACCACTGTAAACGGAATTCCTGTGGACTGGGAATTAGGCCTTAGGTGATTTTGTGTGGTTTATTGAATGAGTCAAGATTAGGTTGCAAAATCTACCAGTAATAATAGTAGCACTGTCCTAAGGCTGAGACATACAAACTTGAAGATATAAATTATGATAGTACATTCAAGAATAAGACTGATTTTACTGAACAGCTTGTTTGCCTGTTTTAACCTATAGTATTTTCAGTTTCCATGTATACATATCTCACTCACGTTCAATCCTTTTGGTCTGCAAGTAAAAGATAGAAAAAGGAAAAATTATGCACAAACTCTACGTAGATATGTGTTTTTAAATTACTTTAATCATTTTACACTTATTCTTTGAAATTTTACATGGTATTATCCAAAAACAATGCTAGGGCACAGACTTCTGAGCAAGAAATTGTAGCAAGGATGTGGATAGATGGTAAACTAGATAGTAGATGAAGTATGTCTGATGTCAAGGAAGAAATGGTTCCATCATTTGCAAGAACATCTTGTACTGCCAGTTTAAGATATTGCCCATGCATGGAAATTGAACAAAAAGAGAGAGAAAGGAGGGGAAATGATTAAAATGAAGCTTTTATTTTCTTCTGTTGGAAAACAAAGCATTGTTTCTTCCTGGATTCTTAGCTGTGTATATCTAGTCCAAGTCATGTTCTAACAATTTCCTGTAATTAGAAACATACGCATCTGTGTAAGTTACTGCCAAAGAGCCTAGGTATTTTACTGGCATTACTAATCCTCCAGTGGCAAAGGAAGCACTGCAGGTGGGCAGGAGGCTTCACAGTGTTTGGGCCCAGTAGCTAAAAGAGGTGTGAAGAGGTTTGAGAAGGCAAAGACTGGATCCTAAGAAACCAGAGTCTCAAAACACTTACCTTCACATTATGGTAAAATGCACCAGGCTTGGAGTCATTGCTTTTGGCCAAATTCCCCCACTGGAGTCCCATAATTCTACAAAACAGAGAAAAGAGAAACTCTAGGTAAATGCTTTATATTTTACTAATTCCGCTCAGATTGTAAAACATATACTTGTTCCTTTAGTGGGTTTAGATAAACCACATCTCTTTCCATTCTATTGTTAAACACTAAGATTCAAAATTACTACCAACTCACATAAGATTGTAACTTCTTGTTATTACAGCCTTTTATGGGAACTTTAACACAAGGATGAGTGACATGAGCTCCCATAAGGCCTACTAAGTACAGGAGTAACTATCACAAGATCCTATCCTACAAGCAAAACAAAAACAAGCAACTTACCTGCTATAAAAGAGTCTGAAGATATTTCTCAAATTTTGAACTTGTTGGTCAATCTATAGGGCACTTCCAACATAAATGCATCTTCAAGTGTGGTCAGAGGTCCAGGACAACTCACTGTTGCTGAAATAAAAGCTGAGTTTCATCAGGAAATGTGATGCGGAGCATCAGGAATGAGTAGGGAGCCATGCTAAGCACACGTTCTGCGGACTTGCTGAGTGGTGACGCCTCTGTACTTGGTACTCAAGTTTTAGTAACTTGTCAAAGTAAACCAAAAGCTGACTGAACAGGAAGGAGAACGTTCCTTCTGGGACAGGGTATGCTCCTTTCCCACATAAGCAGGGAAACCAGGAGTTGTATGGATAGTGACTGTTCTAAAATGGGTCTTCCATTGAAACCTATGATGAAATCTGTGAACAAGGTCAGACAAAATACCGAATGATTTAGAACTAATGAAGCTGATATAGAACTAATGAAGCTGATTTCTACCAGCTGTTTCCAGACAGATGTTTTAAAAGGGATCTGTAAGGAAACAAGTAAAAAGTGATGATACCATGGTTTAACGGGGTGTTATGCTTTATTTTATTTTATCTAAACCTGCTTCCCATTAAGGGTGGAATTAAACTGTTGCAAGAAATGAAGTAGATTTGTCACTGAGGTGGGAGTGATGCTCAGGTAGAAGCCGAAGACACAGCCTGTGGCTCACCCTTGTCCTTGTCTTTGCATGGTGACTATCACGTTTGAAAGACTCCTGCAATGCAGTGGGTCTCAAACAGGGCATGATGTGGAGCAGAGCCTCCTGCCAACACTCACTGGATATGAAATGCAATTGAAGAAAAAACCCAAAAACTTGCACTAAACTGTTCAGATTTGGAGGGTAGTTTGTTACCACTGAACGACCTAGCTCCATCCTAGCTGAAATAGCAACTTGAGCAGGAATAATTACATAGTTAAAACTATCTCTGTTCATATTGTCAACATAATTAACATTTCTCCGTTTCTTTGAAGTTGACCGTTTTTCCCCAACAGAAAAGTGAAAGAGTGCTTACTTTGCCCCACACATAAGAATTATCTTATAATCAGTTGACAGACTACGATTTGCCTCATACAACATGATCTAACCCTTACTGTTCATTTTTCTTTTTTCTTCACTACTGAAAGATCTATCACATCCAAGTGAATGGAAAACAGCTCCACCAATGTGTTGCTACCACCAAAACACACAGCAGGAAAATCAAATCAAGTACAAAACGAACTCTAGTAGACTGACTGGCATATTGGCAAGACTGTGGGGGCTGGGGATTTAGCTCAGCGGCACAGCGCCTGCCCGGCAAGCGCAAGGTCGTGAGTTCGATTCCCGGTACCGAGAAAAAAAATTAAAAAATTTTAAAAAGACTGTGTGCCGAATGACCTGGGCTGTTGGCCTCAAACACAGCTCCGATATTACACGGATCTGCTATTGGCTACTGCAAAGGCAGCCTCAGTTCCTTGTGACTTCACAGCTTCGGAGGTTTTCTGAATTGGTAGGGAGAAGCTCTGAGTGGCTGTGCTCAGGAAGAGTAATCGGAGAAATAGAAAAGAACAGGCCGTGAATGTCAGTGAGAAGTCATCACGTTTAATGCTATCTCCAAAAACAAGAGAGACATTTTTAGTGATTCCTTTTTCAGGGACAATGATACATATAGGTAAGCAAAATAGTAGGGAAAAGTAACAAACCAGTGTCACAATGGCTCTACTAGTTTTCTCTTGACATACAGGGTTAAAGTTACCCCAGATGTGGGAGGAGAGCAGATGGGTGCATTCTGCTGACTTACAATGCTGGATAATAAAATGACCTAAGACTCTATTTAGAGAAATAGAGCAGCCACTCTTGGGCTGTTTACAGACTTAGAAATATCACGATAAGCAAATGCAGGCAGTTCAAAGGAATGATAAAAAAAAAAGGGCAAGTGGATAAATAATGACCTGATGTTGTTGCGAAAATGTAGTGCAACTCTTGCATTGTTAATATAAACACAGATGACCTTTGCATTTGCTCAACTTTCGTCTTCAAGACAGGAAACAGCAACTGATCTTTATCGGAAAAGTAGAATCTTCCACTTGCTCTGCTGTGCTGACATTATGGTGTGTGTCAGAGCATAGCAATGCCACTATCTCTCCTAAGCACATGCTGAAAACCTGATAGGTGCTTGAAAGAGAAGCTTATCCCAGGCATATGCTTTGTGTGTTCCACAGTGAACGAGAACACACTCTGTGTGTGCAGGGTATGGATTGGAACTTGGGGGTGGTGGTCAGAGAGACAAGAGCCTGCGACTACATCTTCTGTGTATGCACCAATTTATTATCTTCACAATTTTAAACATCCTCTAGGGTGACATTTACTACTCAGTAAACAAATAAACCTGAAGAGCAATTGCTTTATATATTAGGGTAGCTAATGAGTTCTATATTTCAGGCATACTATAAACTAAAATAGGAAGAATTGTTTATGAGTTGCTCAATATTTTGCGTCAGAAAATTTCAAACATCTGAACTGTCTTTTCTCTATTTCAAACAATGGATTCAGGTCTTTTTTTCTTTTCCAGTGTACACATAAGCGCGCACACACATATCATCCATCAAAGAGACACTTTAAAAATAGGTACATTGATATACAGGTTAGGCAGTTCATACAACCTTAGGTAACTGATGAATATTATCTTCTCATCACTGGATATTTATGCAGTCATTCTCATAAGCTTTCCCTCTAAAAGAATTTACCTAAATTGACTTTTCATTTCTCCTTACACAATCCATTTGGTCTGGATTCCAAAATAGATCTTGATATGGAACAAATTCTGATTGTTCTTATTTATTAAATATTTATCACCTAACACAATCCCTGTGGAAATCATCTTCAAAGTATTTTTTTTTTTTGCAGCCATTCTATAGAAATGGATGACTTAGGGCCTTTGGTTCCACTTTCTAGCTCCCAGCCCTTTTCAGGATGTACACGCAGTGGTGGTACTGGGGATGTTTTTCTTCTTGTCTGAAATAAATTCATGTGTACTTTTCCTTAAGCTGCTAGCCTGTCTACTACATTTCTACAAGATTGTAGAAATGTCACACAATAGAGCCAGCTACTACCTATTCAGTCAGAAGTAAGGCTACTATTATCTCAATCACAGCTGGCAGACTTTTCTGTGAAGGGTCAGATGGTATACATACTCAGCTTTGTGGGCAATATGTGCTGTGAGTCACTGTTGCAATTAAGTAACTCTGCCATAACAGCAGCCATAAATATAAACAAATAGGTGTGTTTCAACCATGCTTTATTTACAAAAACAGGTGGAAGGAGGTGGTATGGATCTGTGGGCAGGAATTCAGGAATCCCTGACTTAAATCAAACCAACACCTTTGGCCATTGCAGATTAGTGTGTAGTCCTGATGAAATCACACTCTGAAGGGCTGAGGGGCTATGCAAAAGATATTAACTCATAGATGAGTGATGGCAAACCTATGGCAAGCCTACTGCAGTGGGCTCTTTGTATCACAGAAACCGCTAAAAGGTTGACCACGGCTGTTCTAGATGAATTTCAAGTACTGAGTTATTAAATGTTGGCTTAAGATAACACTGTCATTCCTATTACCTTACTATCTGCAAGAAATTTGAGGAAAACATGTTATGGCAGAGTTCCAAACATCCATTAACAACCAGAAGAAAACTTTGGGTCTATGAATTTGCCTGACGGTGACTCACAATAAACTAGCCATAGGTATCTTCATGGGAAACTACATCCAAAGCAAATATTTGAAAGCAATATTTAGCATGTCCATATAGGTATCCAGGGATTAGCCTCTGGGGCAAGGAGAAAAGGAGAAAGTCCTGACTTTTGTATTCAGATAGTGCTGACCCTATATCTTTAAATTATTTGAATCCTTGCCCAAACATGTGTTTGTTTTCATGCAGACCAGACCTCGTAAATCTTGGTATGGTCTGTCAGTGAATGCAGAAATATGCTGCCTTGTGTGGCAGTGTAATAAAGATGAAATTCTTCTGATGAAGTGTGAGGCCCCCTCAATTACCTGTCCTTCACACAATAACCTTTCAAACATGTTAAAACTGGGACAAACATTATTGCTGAAGGCAGAGGGATTAGTACTTCCCAGTGAATGCCATGCCATAGGCCACCCCATGGAGCAGTCTTGTTATAGAGGGTTATACAGTGGTGCTGCTTCCAAGAGGCCTTTGTTGAGCGTGGTCTTTGGGCCTGAACAGTATCCTTCATGGAGAGTGCAGGTAATAACTGGTGCTGGGTCGCTTGAGGTATCTCCGAAGGACTTTTAAAGGGCTTCCTAGGTGATCCAGCACATTGGAAGTGCAAATGAGAGAGTAATGTAAACCATGTGAATGTTTGGCTTCTTTGTCAAAACTTCAGGAAAGCCTTGCTATAGCATAGTTGGTTGTTGCACAGATGCAAACAGTGTGCTGTGAGTTAAACCAGGTGCCCTAACACATCACTGCGTTTAGTTAGATCCGATAGGGTATGGTTAGAATGTAACAGAGAAACCATTAGACATTCCATTCTCATATCAGTTTGGCCAAGATCAAAAACATTGACAATACCTAGAGTTGTAAGTTTGGAGGTGCTCTCTTACACTGCAGTGGAAAGTGAGCTCGTTAGACTATTCTGGTGGGTATATTGGCAATATGCTTAAAGATACAAATCCCTAAATCTTTTGTTCCAACAATTTGACTTCCAGGGATTTGTTATGGAAAAAAAAATGGGTCATGAGCTTAAAAATTAATTGTGGGTGTTCATCAAAGCATCATGTACGAGAACAAAAATTGTAAATACTCTGTTCATCAACAGGACTTTGGTTAAACAAATTAGTATTTTTCATAAAATCTTGTGCAGATAAAATATCTTGCAGATGAAAATCATGCTGATATCTCTGTTAATTGATATGGGATCCTGTCAATATCATTATCATTTGTGAAGAATTAGATCCGAAAGGAATAAAAAGCAAGCTATAAAACATGCTTCATACTATCATATGCATGTGTATAAAATGTACACAGATGCAAAACTAGCTGCTTCAGAGTAAAGGAGTTTGGGATAATGTTTGACTTTTTTCCACTT